GTCTACCTGTCCCTAACTATGGGCCTTTCTGCATCCTGCTTCCTGTCTTTGCTGCCCGTCATTAGAGTAAGGCATCGCAGGGGAGACAAGTAGTGGACAGACTGATTCCTAGTAGGGCTCCCCTTGAGAAACAGGAAAGAAGAGGTGCAGGGCCCACAAGGTACCATGTAGACAGGGAGGAGCAGCTCAGGTAGCTTGGGCTAATTGACGGTAATCTTAAGTGACAGCAGACAGCCGAAATGACTAGCATCTATCAGTTGAGGTCCCTTCTTGAACCTTCCCATGGAGGGGAAGTTGGATATTGATTGTTTTATGGGGTATTTAGGCTGATACATGACAGGCCACTATTTTTTGAAGACAAGGGTTATAGAGCAAGCTTTGCTATTAGGCCAAGGAGTGGTATGGCTGGTGGCTCTTGTAGAAATTGGCTTCACAGCCATGGATGAGCATCTGATAAGGTCCTGTCTATCTCCCAGGTGAGCTTTGTCCTACCAGTAAGCTTTCCCATGTTGGTAGGGGTTAAAAGCAATTACTAGCAGTCAAGGTTGTGGAGCGTCAGGTGGTCTTCAAGGTACTCTGCCCCAGCTGCTGATGCTTTCCAACCTGAGTAGATGATCTTGCTGTAGTCCGGGGGGATGAGATCTCCTTGCTAGCTGAAGCTGGTTGCATGCTTCCTTTACAGCCATTCTAGGCATTAGTTTAGATGGACCCTGAAGCACTGGATTCAACTGATGAGTGATAGTTTATGTTTTTAACCAGTGGCAAACCCCCCCCCCCACAAATAACCTGTCCAAGCACTTCTTTCTCCAACCAGCATAACTTCAAATAGGGTTTATCCAGGTTTAGTTTCCAACAGGGATCAGCATCTCAGTTGCTTTTAATTCAGGGAGTTTGGCCTCGGGGGTTTGTTCTGGGTTTTTATAAAGATAAAGTTCATAACAGAAATTCAAACGCAGAGTTGGGTTTGGGCTACGAGTTTAGCGTGTTTAATCTCTGGGGCTTTGGCTTGGGGCTCTTTGTGCTTCGCAGGCTTTTCTCCTTGCTACTGTCGGTGATGCTGTGTCTCAGGGGAGCTGCAAGGAACTGGTTCGTCTGCATGACTTATACTCACTGCGCCTGCCAGCAGGGCTTATTTATGACCAGTGCTTGTTCTTAGACACCGATGATGTGCTCTGCCCTTTTTTAGACACTCAACAAAGCCTTTGCCCCAAAGAGCAAGAAGCTGACAATAGGTGCTTCATCCTGTTCCCATGAGAGTGGTGCTTTTCACTTTTCACTTCTCACTCCAGTTGCAAGCAGAGGGAGCAGAATCTCTTCGGGAGCAGTTTGCAGCTGAACAAGGGATGGGGGTTGCACATTTTCAGCCTAGCCATGATTTGGAATAAAAGCAGCAATCCCAAAATGGCATAATAATCTGTGCAGTCGCTGAAGCCTGCCACCGTATATCAAGTAGAGCAAGTGACCATCCCAGAGCAGTTCATGAATAAAGCGGTTACCATATGTCATGTTGCTGCCCCTTTAAATCTTTTCGTCTCCTTGGCAGCTCAAGGCTCATGTGTTGCTATGGTGATTCTCCATGGCAATGACCCTAATCAGTGAAGGGGGAAATGTAAAGGGGGGTGGGGGGAGCACGCATGCTCAATGTGGCTCCTTGCTACTGCCATTTCCCAGTGTCTGTCACAAAAGGTGCAGGCAGGATCAGGCACTTGGCAAAGTAGAGTGTGGGTGAGTTACATTTCCATGTGCTCGGCATGTGGCTGCTCTGGTCTCCCTGTGTGTGGGGGTCCGTGGGCATCATGTCCCCTCTGGGTCCCTGGAGCGAACGTCCTGGGAGCAAACAACTGATCTTCACTCTTTCCTTTTATTTCAGGCTGGGAAGGAAGCTCTAATTATTGATGCTAATCATGCCGTCTCTTTCTGTCGGGAGAGTGATGAAGGTGGTGATCCCGCTCATTTCGGTGCTCGGCCTGCTGAGCGTGAAGCTTGCCGGGGCCAATCAAGAATCGGGGAGTGTCATTCCAGCGGAAAGTAGGTACCCGCCATGCTACACCCACTCCCTTGCCCGGGCTTCCTGGCAGTGTTTTCACGCCAATCTCTTGTACTCCACGGGTTAGCTGCACTTCTGAAATTGCCCAGCAAAGGCTGACTGGTTTGTAAAACACTCAATGACTTTGGGGCTTTAGAAGGTTACTCCTAATAGTATTTTGGGAGGAAAAAAAAAGTGCTAATCTTAAAATCATGTTCTCTTAAAATTACATAGTCTCAAGTCATTTTTGCTTTGAGCCATACGTCCGCTTGCAAATGCTCTAGGTTTGGAACGACATCTAAAATCCTTGTTGTTGTTACAGGCAAACTATTGCTTGGTATTGCTGTTGCATTGCAAATATGTCTCTTATTTCCCCCCTTGTTGGCTGGAACAAGGGATATTGCGACAGTTTGAACTCTGGTAAAATTTTGAAATGGTTTATTCTTGCACTGGAAGTCCAGACTTGTGGTGCTGTATGTCCAAGTGAAATCATGAAATGTAGTGTGGGGGCTCTGCGCACAGGACTGGGAGAAGGCAAGGGAGATTTGCTCTTTATTAACTAACTGAAGTAGATTATGTATATTTAGCATGAGTTTTGTGAGCTGTAGATCAGATGCTGCATGGGGCTGAGAACCAGATACTCCCGAATTCTCATCCCAGCCCTCTGATCGACTTCCCATGTGACCGAGCAAGTGTCTTGTTAAGTGCATCCGGCCCTAAGGAGGGAACAATGCTACAGGGATGCTGTGAGGCTTGACTGGTTAGTGCGGTGAAGTGTTTTGGTGATTGGGATCTAGTGCCGTGGAAATATAAGTTCAGTAAAGGATGGATGACTTAAGTATAAGACAGCTTTTCCATTTTGTTTTCGTCTGCTCCCACCTGAAAGTTTAATTCACGATTTGATCTGACCCCTGCATTTTATTCTGCTGGACTATCATGGCTAGTTTTCACACAAGCCCTTCTTACCTAAACAGGACTCAAAGATGACTGAGTTTCCTCTGTCTTGTTCTAGTCTCACTTTTTTATTAGCGGTGCAGTGATAAATGCTGTTTTGGGCTTGTGGGGAAAGCAGGTGTATTGAATGAGGGTAGTCTTTAAAACAAATGATATGCTCGTGGTGCTGTGTGTTCAGAGGTAGGTGAAGGAGCGCACTTTGGGTTCGGTGTGAAAGGTGATGAAGTTTGTAGGCTAAGTACAGACTTTCAAAAAACCTGACCCTGAATTGATTCAGTCTTTGCAGGTTAGTCTAAACTGTGTAGATTGAATGGAGAAGCACGTGAATGAACGTTCACTTTTGGAGGGGGGGATTAATCCTTCCTCTCTCCCCCACCACTTTGCCTCAGGGGGCTGGCCCGGGGGCTGGCCATGTCCCCCTACACCCCAGTGGGAAAAAACCTGGCAGGGGCTGCAGTCCTGAGCAGGGTTTCCCACCCCCACCCATTCTCAGCCAGTCGTGGCAGTGATAGGACGCCAGCTGGGGAGCAGAGGGGTGCGACAACCATGCTGGCTGGAGCAGACGGCACAGCTCAGCCCAGGGCTGAAAATCTTTCTGGGATGCTGGGGGACTGTGAGTTAACTTAAACCAGGAAGGGGTCTAGGACAGAAGTTCCTTAAACCGGCTTGACCTAAATCAGTTAAGTCTAATATGACATTCAACCCGGCTTATCTTAAACACATTTTGGCCATTTTGAAAATGGTTTATGTGCACTGAACTTCTCTTCTGTTACAGGTTGAAACTGGTTTCTGAGCACTTAAACCAGTTTATGTGTAACTTCTGTCCCTAGCCATAGTGGTTCTCTGCTCCTGTGGAAATATGTTCCACAGCTTTGCCCTAATGCTGGAGAAAGCTTTGTATCCTGCACTCAAAAGAGCTACCTTTTTGTGGTAAAAAATGAGATTTCTGAGAAGATGCCCTGCTGTTCTAGTTGCTGTTTCTTTAGGGTGGGTGGGTTTATGCCTAGGTAGATAGTATCACTGCAGTCTAGATGCAGGTGACATGAAAAAGGCAGGTAGAGCCAAGCCCAAGATGGAACTGAGTATTTTAGCTAGCTGTAAATGGCAGTGTTTGCTAGTGATACGTCAGTGAGACCTGAACCCCGACAGTGAATCTAGGCACATGGGGACCTGAACTGATGGCAAATACATAAAGCCCTTTCCATTTCTTTGTCCCCCAGCATTACCAGGATCTTGCTTGGGTTGAGCTTCAACCATCAATTCCTTCTGCACAAGCTGATCTCTCCGACAAGTACTGCACCACCTTGGTAGATGTGGTATAGTTACACCCGGTGAAAGATACTGATGGCACTTCACTTCATGCTGTTGCATCTTTTCACCTAGTGACTATACACAGATGCTGAATAGAGCCAGAGAGAAATGAGCCCCACCACTGAGAGGGTCTGATGGTGGGGGAGCAAAGAACGTGACCTGTCAGTTTTGGGGGTTCCTTGGGTGAATGATGGCTGATACTGAGGAGACTAGGCTCAGTGGCCCAGGAGGCCCCTTTTCACCCTGTGTTCCTAACTGTAGGACGCAGGCTAGTTTAACTTCTGGTAAAAGGGAAGTGGAAGGCCGCCTTACCCAGTCCAACACGGGTAGTGCAGAAATGCATCTGCATTCCTCCCTGCAGTTGGTGGAACCAAGGTCAAGGGCTGATCCTGCCAGTGAAGAAGGCCTGGGCAGTACGTGGTAGAGAGCATTGTACTATTGCTAAGCACAGGACCACCAGCCAGCATGTATTGCAGCATTCAAAGAAGGCAGCTCTCTTAGCTGACAGACTGTACTTTCTTGGACTAGCGAACTCACTGGCCACCCTTCCTTGAGTGCTAGAGAATGGCTCTGCCCTGTAGCTTTGGGTGGAAAGAGGATCAGGATGCCCATTTGGCTGATCTATGAAGCAGACTGCAGCACTAATTTGCAATGACTAGTCAGTGCTTAGCCCTTGCAGGACATGCATAGTGCTGCACATTTGCAGAGGACTATGTGCACATTAAATTAAGTTATCAAGGTTTGTAGCACGTTATTTATGGGTCAGCGGGTACCATTCTTGGTGTGTCTGGGATGTGCATCTCTGATTTCCATTTTTTTCTCCACCAAGTTCTGAGTTTTGTGAATATTTCAGGGGCAGTAACTTCAGCTGCTGCAGCTCCTTATCAGGCTGAGCCGTCACAGGGCACTTAGCAGAAGCTGTGCCATAACTGAATAAGGCAAGTTGCCATGCCAGGCTAGTGAGATGTTTAGCTGATGGAAGGTGGAGACAGCCAGGCTCTGCTCCGATGTTTTGTGCTCAGAGGTTAAAGTGATTAGACCAGATCTTCATAAAAAAAATCCATATAAACCATTCCAAATCTGAATTCTTTTAAAGGCTGCCTCAGAGCCAGGCCCTCCTCCACCCCCTTCTGCCGCAGGAAGAAGTCCTGTGCTGATGAAACCTCATTTATCATCCACAGAGGTATATCCCTTGCTGCTCCCCACAGGCCCGGCAGGAAACTTCTGGCCCTGATCCTCAGGTCTGGTTGCAGTTTGAATAAGGATTGTCCACATGTAGCTCTAAGTTACCTTCTCCCTGCCCAATCCTAGGTTGTGTGAGATGCCCATTAAGCCTCTAGTGAAGGTTAGAGTAGTGGTTGGATTGGTCACGGCTCCTCCTGGGGGATGTTTGATAACTGCTGGAGCGCAAATGCTCTGCTTGCTCTCCTTTATTACATACTAGTAAAGCAGAAGACCAGGAACAGGCCAAATTAACACTAGCTCTTTGTCACTCGGGGTCCCCTTGTCTGTATGGGCACAGCAGCTTTATGACCTCTCTGCATGGTCCTAGGATCTAGACTGCTTCCAGTGTGGGTGGATGGCCTCTCTGATCTCCTCACTCTTTCATGCTGCTCACTCCTATATATATTTTATGTGATATGCGGTAATGCCAACTGTTGCAAAACCATCACAAGACTTGGGATTTCAAAGTCAAAATAACTCTGACTTGCAATCTGCTGATCCAGCCCTCAGACCTCGGGTTTTTCCAAGCTGGTAAGTGGAGGGGAAGGGGCTGGGGAGAGGGAAGGGGCAGGGGGATCAAGGCCCCTGCAGTGAGGGAGGGTGTGGGGCAGGAGCAGGGGCTGGGGTGAATGGGGCCCTGGGGCCGGTGTGGCTCGTCTAGAGGTGCAAGGGGAGGAGTACAGCTCCCTGCAACAGCACACGCCCCTGGGGGAGCTATGGGGGGCATGTGTCCCCCACGGGGCAGAGGCGGGCTGGGGCTCTGCAT